ACAGCGCCGTCACTGACGATCTCCCGAGCACCACATTAAATTGGATTTCCTCCTGTTAATCTGCTCTCGTGTCCATTTTATTATTAGTCCAACCCAATGATGTCAAGAAGCAGAGAGGAGATATATTTAAAAAAAAAAAAAAAAAAAAAAAAAAAGAAGCCCGGCCAGGCATGGCTCAGCAGTTAAGCATCAACCTAGGATCCAGGCGATCAGGGTTCGATTCCTGGTCAGGACACATGCCCGGGCTCTGGGCTGCAGCCGATCAATGACTCTCTCATCATTGATGTTTCTCTCTCTCTCTCTCCCTCTCCTTTCCTCTCTCTGAAATCAATAAAGATATATTTAAAAAAAAAAAAAGCAGCGGAGAGGGAAGAGCCTCTGTCCCTGATGCGATCTGCGACGGGACCAGGCGGCAGAGGCTCCTCAAATTCACTCTTTGCCTCATAAACGAGGCACCGAATTGCTTGTCCCCAGGGATCGATGGGAACAAAGTGTTTCTTAACCAGATTTCAGGTCTGTTTAGCCACTTCCTCCAGGACCCCGAGCTTCGTCCCACTTCCCACCCCACCTTCCACCCAGGAGAGCAGACAGACAGGCTCCCCGGAGAACAGGACGGCACTGGGGTCGAACACTCGCTATCGACTGTTCGTCTGGACTCCGCTTCTCCCCACCTTCCCACACCCGCTTCCCCTTTACAATAGGAAATACCTTCTTCGTCTAGCCTTTGAAACCTTGCAGGTCTCTGGTCAAAGCATCTCCCCACTTTGCCGTCATTGTCCTGAATAAAACCCTCTACTGCCCGGCCAGCTTGGTTCCATGGTTGAGTGTCGACCTATGAACCAGGAGGTCGCGGGTTCGATTCCCCGGTTAGGGCTCATGCCCCGATTGCGGGCTCGCTCCCCAGTCGGGGGCGTGCAGGAGGCAGCCGATCGATGACCCTCTCATCATTGATGTCTCTATCTCTCCCTCTCCCTTCCTCTCTCTGGAATCAATTAAAAAAATGGCAAAAAATGTTAAAATTAATATTAATGAATCTCAACCGATAGGGAAAATTGTCAATTCAGCCGTTCCCTTCCCTGGAAGTGTTTATAAGAGAGGATTTCTTGACGGAATTGTGAAGGGTAACAGATACGTTCCAGACCTCCACTTCCCAAGACTATTTTTATTTTTATTTTTTTATTTATTTTTTAATCATCACCCGAGAATATTTTTTCCATTGCTTTTCTGAGAGAGTGGGAGAGAGAGAAAGAGACATCGATGGGAGAGAGACTCACTGACTGGATGCCTCCTGCTCCGGGGATGGAGCCTACAACCGAGGTACATGCCCTTGACCGCAATCGAACCCGGGACCCTGCAGTCCTCGGACTCACGCTCTAACCACTGAGCCGCACCGGCCAGGGCCCCGGGACTGTCTTAATCCTGACGGTCTGCCCATTCCGTGGAGGCGGCAGAAGACAACGCCAACAAAATTCACGGGTGAACTCCCAAGCTGCCTTCAGGACGGCGTGCCAGTTGTAATTTCGTGAATAAAAAAAAAGGTAACTCCTTGACTAATGCGGAGAAATCAATCAGCAGCTCTCCGGGACGTGTTTCCTTTCCATGTGGGAACAGGTGTCACTTTTAATAAAAATGTTAAGCGCTCAGAATGGATTGCAGGACAGGAATGTCAATTCGCTCGTCCACACCAGATGAACGAATTATTTTCTCCGATAACCGCTGGGTCTGGGGGAGACAGCAAGTCCGGAAACTCCCCACAAAGTTTCTCAGCATCGCTTTGGTCAGTGCTGCCTCCAGGTTAGGAAACGCAGGTTAGCCCTGGCCGGTGGGGCTCAGCGGCTGACTATTGCCCGATGAACCAGGGGGTCGCCGGTTCGATTCCCGGTCGGGGCACATGCCCGGGTTGTGGGTTCGATCCCCAGTAGGGGGCGTGCAGGAGGCAGCCGATCAATGACTCTCCTCATTGATGTTTCTCTCTCTCTCCCTCTCCCTTCCTCTCTCTCTAAAATCAATAAAGATGCATTAAAAAAAAAATGCAAAGAATGACATAAACTCGCCGGTAGTCCCCATGCCCTGAAACTCATTGCAAATAAAATGATATGATCTTTCTCTGCACTTACGTGTCCGCATGTGTATAGTCCACCACGGAAAACGTGCACATCCACACCTAAATCTCTCATTTAAATCGGCAAGCACGGCGCTGCCTTCCGGGAACGTCCGATTCTGCCTTTCCCACCCTAAAACTAGACCATGAAGCTTTTCTCCGCGACAAAAAAAAATCCTTTAAAAACCGTAATGCGCCGTCTCTTGTTCATTGAGTCCGAGACACACAACCTTATAAAAAGGTTGGGCTTATCCTGACCCCAACATGGGCTTTTGCATCGTGGATCTTTGCTGGTTGGAATGTCATTAAAAATGTTCACCGCCCTCCAAGGATGTATCTTTATTTTTTAAAATTTACCTTTACTGTTGAAAGGGTGACAGATGTCCCTTTGTTTTCCTGCATTGACCCCTGCACCCCCGCCCAGGGCCCGCCCCAGGCCTTCCACACACGATTGCCTGTGTCCGTGGGTGATTCTTTCACGCACATTTATTCTGTGGGTTAATCTCTCCCCCTGCACCCACCCCCCCGCCTTCCCTCGTGTCGGTCTCAGCACATCCGGACCCAAGATGAGCCCACAGGCTGCAGGCCGGTCTCAAGAAAGAAAACGACATCTCATAAAATTCCCCTTTTTCTCTCTCTTTTTTTTTTTAAATTCTCACTAGAGGATGTTTTTCATTCATTTTAGAGAGAAGAAGGGGGGAGAGAGGGAGACACGCAGCAGCTGAACCAGGGCTGGGGATTCAACCTGCAACCCAGGTACGTGCCCTTGACCGGAATCGAACCCGGGACCCTTCAGTCCTCTGGGCAACGCTTTGACCACTGAGCCACACCGGCCAGGGGCAGAAAAATTTATTTTAATATCCCTAAACTTTTTCTTTTTCTTTTGAGGGGAACACACTAGAAATCGCAGGCGTTTTCCTGACTGTCACTAACACGTCCACGCAGAGTTTAGCGGCTGGATCCGAGGCCCCGCACTCGGAACCGCGAGGTCCAGCGCAACGCCCGCGGGGTGGCTCTGTGCTGGTGAGACACGATCAATACCGGCATCAGGCGTTTAGGGATGGCCGTTTTAATCCCTGCTGAATCGGCGCATGAAGGAAGCACCATGAAGACCGTGTTAGTTTACGATGAATCAACCGTGAGATTTCTCAGACTCACCCTGTTAATTAGCCACGGAGTCTGTCCGCGTTTTCTAACATTCCTGGCGCCCCCTCTCCCCCCAAAATGCCAATCTCCCTTCTAGACTAAAAGGACCCAAAATAAAAAAAAAATTAAAAAAAGACCCCGAGCATTTTCTCGCAAAATGTACAGTTATTTTGTAGCGAAATAAAAATGAAATAAAACCCGACTTAGCAGGCGCCGAAGGCTTCGAAAGCCGGGTCGGAAATCAAAAGCCGCCTCCCGCGTTAACAGCCACATTAAGAACGGAATTAATCTTTCAAACGCTCGAGAAGTGCGTTTCTGCGGCAGAGACTGAGCAACGTGAGACCCTTTTAACGAAGAAATCGCAGAAATCCCAGCGGAAAAGGGGGCTGGTGAGCTGCTCGGCGTGAGGAGCGAACCAAGCCGAGGCTCTGAGCCTCCCCGGACGCCCCCTCCGGTCAGAGAATCCTGTGCCGCGGGGTTTGAATTTAATGGGGGAAAACACGTCCTAAAAAAAAACACACGTCGCTGGCTTTTCATCTCTTCCATTCTCATTCCAACTCAGCTCCCTCCAAGGAAAACAGCGTCAGATATTCTACAAAGAAAAAAGACTTGGGGCCGAGCCTCTTGGGCCGCAGAGCAGGGTGTCCCTCCCGCCCTGGGCACCGTGGGCCTGGGGCTGACTCGCTGTTCGTGGTGGCGTCTGTCCAGTGTCCGGCCGGATGCTCAGAAGCACCCAGGCCACCACCCACGAGACGCCAGGAGCAGAGCCCCCTCGAAAGCTATGAAACCCCAATGCCCTCAGACCTGCCAACTGCCCGGGACGGCCAAAGCCCCCTCGGCAACCCGGCTGTCCAAAGCTGCGTTTAAAGATCCTTCCATCTCCCTGAAACCCTCGCTTCATCTCCCATCGCCCAGGCTGGCGGGCGCGGCCAGGTGCGCACACCTGGGCCCACACACGGGCCCCGCTTTGCTCTCAGGACCATCCTGGGCACCGAGGTGCGTCGGCCTCCCGGGAAGGCAGGCCAGCCGACCGAGACTGGGTCTCTCGGACGCCACGCCGCGGTTCCGCCTCCGGGGCCTTCCGTTACCAACGGGAGCCACTACCTTCTCTGAAGGCCGCTCCGTGGAGCCTGCTGCCGCTGGGGGAGGGGACAGGACTATGACAAGCAGTGTCCCCTGTGACATCACAATGCAGAGGGCCACAGAGCTGGGCCCCTTCCGAGAGACAAGGGTGCTAGAGAGTTCTCACCATCCGGTCCCCTCAACAGCCCCCCCCCACATATACTGCAACCAGGGAGTGGTGCCCTCCTCCAGGAAGCCCGCCCGCCTGCTCTGCCCTCAGGTGACAGCATCAGGCTCACCAGGAGCCTTCCCCCTGCCATGGGTTCGTAGCTGCGCTCATGCAACTAGAGTCACCTCCGAGGTCCCGGGGAGCCCTCAAACCATTTACGAAAACCCCACCCCTCTACTTCTCAGGGTCCGGCCTACACACCACCCCCTGCCCTGCCCTCGTCAGAAGTACATCTGCTCCCTAGGAAACCACGTTGGCCCTGATTCCCGCTCCCCGTCGGCCAAGGGACCTTTTGTTGGACGGTCCTTTCTGAACGAAAATGATACCGGGGCAGCTCCGAACGTGGGTTGTCCCCGCGGTATCAGAATCTTCCAAAATACAATTATCCAGGTCGCCACACAGCCCCGTTGGGCTTAGTTGGGGCGGCCAGGCAATGACATTTTCACAGTGTCTTCTACTTACGCCGATAAGAACGTGGAGACGGTCTTGGGCGATGTCCTCGGAAGGTCTTACGTTATGGAGACCACCATGTGCGGGTACGGCCAGGTGAGGGGCTGTCAGCGTCGATGATCGGGGGACATCGGGTGCACCCTGCGGATTCATTGGAAAGAATCATACAGATAAGCGTACGCTGGGCCCCGTCAACGAGCTCTTTCTTGCCTAAATAACTCCTTTGTCTGCTGGTTTCTTCCTAACTCCTAGTCACCTGCAGATCTCAGGTGAGTAGCCACCGCCTCAGAGAAGCCCACCTGATTGCCCCATATAAAGCAAATACACCGGGTGTCCCACAAAATGCATACGCCCTTTCAATAATTATTAATTCCAACGGGTTAAATCTGAAAACAAGGAAACATCAATTGACTGACCAGCTGTTAAGTGTGTGTACATTTTTGGGGGGACGCCCTCCATTGTTGAATCTCACAGTACCTTCCCCCCTTGGTAGCCGTCACCACTATTTGCAATAATGTATTTATTTGTTTTCTTATTATTTGATATCTGTCCTTCCCACAGGTACTAACAATGAAGAGCTTGTGGCCCCCTTGCAAGCTCTCAATCAATATATATTTTTTCAGGACGTATCAGATATTTATTTTTGAAATATATGTTAATAACGTATATTCATACAAACATAGCCTCAAAAATATTTAACATCAGTTCTTTTTTGACAATGCCTCCCGTATAATTTACTACATCAAATAAGCCTAATCCTTTTAATATTTTTCTTTTCATAAGGAAATAGAACTAATCTTTTAAGATGTTCCAGGGACCTCTGGAAAATTCCAAAGTTAGTTCAAGGTCAAAAAGACTTCATTTAGAATTTGTTGTCTTTTTTGTATGTGTGAAGACTGTCAGAAATATCAATTTAACAAAGTTACATAGGTTAAAAAAAATGAAAAACTTAGCTGTGTGAATATTGAGTAGACTGGTTTTTCATAAGTCATCAAAGACCAGAAAAAGACAATGGGAACCACAGCAAATTATTTCAGCAAGACAACATTTTTTTCATTTTTTAGGCAGATTAGTTAAATACTCAGAAACCTAAGCATACACGTTCTTTTTTACAGGCAAAAGGAAAGAAACCATTATTTGTACAGTTGATCCTGGAAAATATATGGAGTTTGTATGATGCTGTCTTTTAAATGCCGTCTTTTAAAGGTTAAATATTTTCTTAGTAGAACTGGGGCCACAAACTGCTGTCCTCCCCGAAGTGTTTCTGCAACCAGACGAGTGTTTTCCTGTTTACGTTTTGAAGTGGCTGAAAAAGGAATACTCTGTGAAACCTGAGCAGCGCATGATATTTTGTATCCCTTCGCCCATCAACAGAGTGTCCAGGAACCCAGCCTCGCATGATACTTTGTATCCCTTCACCCATCAACAAAGTGTCCAGGAACCCAGCCTCGCATGATATTTTGTATCCCTTCGCCCATCAACAGAGTGTCCAGGAACCCAGCCTCGCTTGATATTTTGTATTCCTTTGCCCAGCAACAAAGTGTTCAGGAACCCAGCCTCACATGATATTTTGTATCCCTTCGTCCATCAACAAAGTGTCCAGGAACCCAGCCTCGCATGATATTTTGCATTCCTTTGCCCAGCAACAAAGTGTCCAGGAGCCCAGCCTCGCCCACTGCTCGCTGATGGTCCACGGCGGCGTCTGCACTAGCCTCAGACTTGTGTGATTAGGACGGATTATTTGGCCTGAGGAGCTGAACACGGTCATTACCTGGCCCTTGAGAGAAAGTTTTTCCACCTCTGGTACGTAGCCCTGCACAGCAATTGAAAATGAGCTTAGAGCCCTGGTCGGTTCCACTCAGTGGTTAGAGCATCGACTTTCTAAGGGTCGCAGGTTCGATTCCCGTCAAAGGCATGTACCTGGGTTGCAGGTTCGATGTCTCTCTCACATTGATTTTTTTTTTTCTCTCTCTCCCCTTCCTCCCTCCCTTCCGCTCTCTCTAAAAATTAATGGAAAAAAATATCCTCGGGGGAGGAAGAAAATGAGCTGAGAAAAGGAGCCATAAAGATTGCTTTGAACATAGATACATTTTAAATATATTGTTTCCAGTCATTGACATTTAGACAAATGCTAGCACATGCCTTGCAACAATGTATTAACGTCTAAATCTATCATTTATACTTTTAAAAACACAAAGGATAATCCCGCTCGGTAAATAACGTTCACAGAGAACATGGCATTAGAGGAAAATGTCGTATAGATTTTTGCAAATGTAGATCTTGCTTCACTGTAGTTAAGCTTCCAGCAACAATGTCCTAGGGTCAATCTGTGTCCCAGAAATGCCATCCTCCCCCCTACCCCCCCGGGTGGCATTTGAAACTGTAATCAATCTTCTCCCGCGGCTTTTCATGTTCGATTCCTGTTGGAACCGAGCGCAGCTCCGTCGTCGAGGAGACTTCATCCCACCACAGGGAGCACCCACCCGCCAGGCAGCCTCCCCTCTTCTGGGCCTTCATCCTGACCTCACTTGGCCAGATGAAGACGGTAAGCTTGTGGATTTGAGCAATCGGACGACTCCCCTTGTGAGGCCGAAAAGCTTCAAATCATTTTCCTTTCTGCGGCCCACACCTTTTAGTTACAGAAAATAGACTTTAAGAAATCAGCTTGGCAGCCCTTTGCCGGATGTTTCATTTTCTGTGCTCACTCCCCCGGGTGACTAACGGGATTAAGTTACAATGCCTGTCGCAGAGGTATGAGCACCAGGGACCGTACTTGCAGAAGGAAGTGAGCACAAAGGAAAATCTAAAGGCCCGATGGGGGGGGGGGCACCCATAGAACAGAGGCTGTCAAGCTAGGACTTGGGGCCAAGCCCCCGCCCGCCGCTGTTCAGGTCAACGCAGCGTTACTGGAAGGCGGCCTCGCCATCCCATTCGGTATTTTCTGCGGCTACTTTTGCAGGGCAATCGCAGAATCGGTTGGCCACAGGTTGGGGGCAGAGATGTCGATCATGCTCTGTTGACCACCACTGTTAGCTATAGTTAGAAGAAATATTGATCAAGTTCTGTGAACTGTGATTGTTCTAATTAGAGACAGCACTTTCCAACCTGGCTGGGAGCTGAACGCCAGGGACAAGGGAAGGTAACAACCTTGTTCCGGAAGGAATGGAGTCCCGGAGGGTCCCGCCCTTTGCAACCTCCAGCCCCATCTCCATCCTCCACCTGGAGGTGCTCCCCCCCTTTTGCAACCCCCAGCCCGCATTTTCTGTAACCTGAAAACCGTTCAACCCATTCGTATTGCTTTTTGCCCACTTCCCCATGTAATCTTTGTCCTTTTATCCAATATAAGCAGCTGGTTTTGGGGGGCTGGGGGGTAGAGCAGATTTTATGAGGACAAATCCTGCTGCTCTCTCACACTGTGAGCAATATTGCAATAAACGCTCATATATGATTCAACCCTGTCTCTGCTTAATTGGCTCAAGTAGCGACAGGCAGCCTGGACCTACTGTGTCTGGTTCCACACACAATCCGTGAAGCCAACAATATTTACCACGTGGCCTGGCATGGAAAACGTTTCCCAACCGTGGACGTGGCTGTGGTTACAATGTGTAACCTGTTAACTGCCGACCTCAGGAACAAAAGTGGCCACTGGCTTGAGCGAGACGCTGCTCAGGGAAAGCTTGAGGTCGACAAGACGGATGGCAATGAGAGAAGTATTTTAAATGGCCAATGCGAGCATCCAGAGATCATGAACATGCATGACAGGTACATGTGCAGGTCTTTTATTTCTTTTGAATTGGCCATAGCTGATGTTTTACTTAGACATGGGAAATAATCAGGGCATGGATGGTCTATTATGTTACAATTACCTCCTCCCATTCTGCCTTATTACTATCTACAGACACTTTAAATTAACTATTATAGCACTTGTGGTCTTCACATATCCCACGGGGAGGAATATTCCCGTGTTTTTCTGCAGGAATATTAATGAGTTGGATTGCTCGGTGCTGCCCCCAGATGCTGAGCGTGCCCCGGGGAGATAAGGCAAAGGCCCGCATTATCTTTCTAAAATATGCATAACTCGTCCGTCTGGTTTGGCTCAGTGATTCAGTATCGACCTAGGGGCCAGGAGCTCACAGCTCAATTCCTCAGTCAGGGCACATGCTCGGGTTGTGGGCTTAATACCCAGTAAGGGGCCTGCAGGAGGCAGGCTATCGATGACTCTCTCATCATTGATGTTTCCCTCTTTCTCTCTCCCTTCCTCTCTCTGAATCAATAAAAACGCACATACATAAATAAATATGCATAACTCTGAATTGCAAACCGCATCTGGCTCCCAGGGCCTCAGATAAGAAACTGTGGACGCCCGTCGATCGATATTTAGCATGCGCTGTGAGCGCCTGTTATCTAGGACTGTGGAAACGCTGGGAATTTAACCAGGGCATGTGCCAAGACGTCGCTCTATCCACAAAGAACACCTGGATGATCGCACCGCCTCAGACAGGTGCATCCTAACTCACAGGAGCCCTTTTCTGCAGAACTGCATGTTTCATCGGCCATGTAAAATGACAAGGCGTCCAAGGCAATCAGGTATTTCTCCATTTCATTTGGTGGAGACTCAGCCAAGGGCCTGGGGGCCTGCGTTCGTTTCAAACACACAATTAAAAAATGTTATTATTTTTTGCCCCGCGCCAGTGTGGTGCATTGGTTGAGCACTGTCCTATGAACCAGGAGGTCACTGGTTTGATTCCCGGTCAGGGCACATGCCCGGGTTGCAGGCTCCATCCCCAGTCGGGGGCCTGCAGGAGGCAGCCGATCAATGACTCATCATTGATGTTCCTGTCTGGGGATTGAACCTGACACCCAGGTACGTGCCCTTGACCGGGAATCGAACCCATGGCCCTTCGGTACAAATTGCCTTGCCCAGGGAAAAAGTATTCAGACTTCCTGAGCCACGGCCCTGAGCCACGGCCCTGAGCCACGCCAGCCGGGCATGAAGGGTTTTCTGAACGGACAATAAACATGCCCTTTTCTGGATGCACAGGTTAGAGTCGGGTCGCTGGGAACGGGCGCCCGGGAACGGGGTGGGGGACCCCAGCCTTGGGC